TCAATCTAATGGAATGGTTGAAAGACATATTGAAACTGTCAAGCGAATGTTAGAAAAGCTGTAGTTGACAACAAAGATCCATATTTAGTATTACTGGAATATCGTAACTCTCCTATTTTAAATGAAATTAAGACACCTTCAGAATTGACGTTTAGAAGAAAAGTAAATGGATTGATGCCTATAAAAGAGAATTTCATCCAAACTAAACGATATGAAGACCATAAACAACATTTACTGAAGACACAAACTTTACAAAAAAGCTATTATGATAGAAATGAAAGACCATTAAAACCACTGAAGGTTATGTGTACATAAAATAGAAAGGGAAAAACTAAATGAAAGAAGGAAAATTATAGAAGAAGTAGAAAGACCACGTTCATACAGGATTATAAGAACAGATGGAAGAATTGTAGAAAGGAACAGAAGAGACATTCTTAAAGGAACTAATCAGAAAGAGTTTGCAATGCAAAACAACTATGAAAATGAAAGTCATAAGGATGAACCCGAGATACCCGTGATAAGTAGGAGTACTTCAAATTTAGATGTACACTGCGAAAAAAAAAAGGGGGGGCAGTTCTATAGCTCTCGGACTACTGGGCCGATTGACGAAATTCAACTTGCGTTTTTCATGTCTCGAAAGCGCGACTTAGGATATGTATTAGATTTATATATAGCACTGTTCTGACATAGGTACTTTGATACAAAATCGGACTTTTTCTGAAATGACATGCCAATGGTTTTCCATATTTCGATTCTAAGACCTCAAATTACGCCAAACTACCAAGTTTTGTCAAAATCGCACGAGTAGTTTTTAAAGAAATAGCTCTCAAAATTTTAGCTCCTCAATGTTAATTCAATTTGGTATGCATTCATTAATATCTCTTTTTTTATTAAACTTATTTGATTCCTTCTTACACAGTTGGAAATTTAGGTTCATTCCAAATAAATTCACCCGTTTTTTAAGCTTTATTTTTAAAATTTGTATTTTTAATAAATTTTTGTAAATTTTCGAAAAAATTTTTGACTTATAACCTATAAAATGTTTACTATCATCTTAATGTAGATGTATTTTTAAGCCTACCCGCAAAAAATTTATTCGAAGATATATACGTGAATTTATATATTGGCGCATTTTGAAATTTCGCATTTTTGTTGAAAGCAATAATAATGAAAATTTGGTTTATGCACTTTGTTAAAATTATTTGAAAGTAAGAACGATGTGACTTTTTTCCCGCTCACGTACAATGTAAAAAAGATAAGAAAGAAGTGCCTTTTTTCCCGTTCCGACATAATGGAAGAGTAAGGAAAATAGGTTGCCATATATTAAGAAGTTCGCCAATTGGATTATTCTTGGCGCAAATTGAAAAAATTGCGTCAAGATACTCGTATATTGTTGCATTTCTCCATAAATTTTGCACCAAATTATACAAAATTTAATATGTAGGCATAATTTGAGTCGTAGAATCAAAATATGGAAAAAATTGATATGTAATTGCAGGAGAAGTTCGATTTTATATCAAAATACCTATGTTAGAACAATGATATATATAAATCTAATATATATCTTAATCGCGCTTTCGAGACATGAAAAACGCAATTTGAATTTTTTTTTTCCTCTCAGTGTACCTGTAAGTTCTTCAGCACCCAACAGAAGTGTTGAGCCATCAAATACTGAAAGAGGTATTGTATTACCAAATTTTGCTCGATCTGGTAGGACAACTAAAAATCCTCATTATTTAAAAGAATATGTATAATTTTATAATCATTGTTATATCTGTTAAAAAAGGAAGATGTTATATATGTAACTGTAACTGTATCTATTATCATTAATATTAGAATAGCAATGTAGAATAAACGAAGTTTGTGTACATCTTGTAATCATCATTTAGTACTTATCCAACATATAAAAATGATACATTTAGGAGCCAAAACAATCCCCGATAACATGAAAATCGTTTTGCATCAAGCTATGAAAATTGTTAATTTTATTACAAGCTGAGCTTTAAATGTAAGAATATTAACGATTTTATGCCAAGAGGTGGGCAATTAAGGCGGTTATTCAGACGTAAAGATTTAAATTATCTTTAAGAGCTTCAGAGCGATCAGAAATTCAAATTTTCCTCTGTGATTCAAAATTTAAATTGCAAACATGTTTATTTAGTGAAATATGGTTATTTAGTGAAAATATGGTTCGCGCGTTTAGCATATTTAGCTAATATTTTTGGGATGGTTTTTGGAAGTTAAATGGATTAAATTTAGGATTACAAGGACAAAGTCTTAATTTGTTTACCATTAGAGAGAAAATAAATGCAATGACAAAACATCGAGCTAATAATCAAAGAATTGGATAATAATATTTTCAGCTTTTTATCACTTTTAGAAAGTTTTCTAACCGAAAATAATTTAAATAAAAGAATTAGCATCCGACATTCAAAATCATTGTTTTTCATTGATAAATAATTTCAGCATATATATTCCAGAGGATTATGAGAAAGAAAATTAGATTAGAAATCTATTTGTTCAAATGTACCTGTAATTTTATCTTATGTAAAAAAAAAAAAAAGAACAATTGATAGTGCGATCGATTCTAACTGAAGTTTAAAAAATAACACTTTCTTAACTTTACTGAACCGAATAAAAAAAAAGAATTTAAAGGCATTTCAAAAAAGCTATTAATGTTTCGTGCTTTTTTGGCGAACCTATGGGTTTATCAAGAATTTTCTTCCATATTATATTGAAAATAATGCAGAACAAAACTAAAGTGCATCCTAATTCGGTAAAAAATAGGTAAATCGACCAGAAATAAATAATTATCTCAGCCAAATTTCACACTAAATTTAGAATTTAAGTATTATAATTAAATTTGATGATGAAATGGTAACCAATTTTAATCTAAATTTTTTATGTTTGTATATTATACAAATAAAAACGGTTGTGCAAATGACATATCTGTGAATGATAGATTTAGTAAGTAAAATGTAGTAAATTGTGCAAGATGAATGCTTGCCTAGGAAAGGACATTATTTGCAGTCTCGATGGATTGACAATAGAAGATCACTGAAAATATCATACGAGCAGAAGATTCCGGGAACTTTGAGAATCACAAATCCATTGGTGTCCAGATATATATCTTATACTGTGCCCCCACAATTGTGATGATGGCCCCATTACATTTTTAATAAACATACAAGCAAAAGACGTCATTACTGCAAGCATAGGCAGAGAAGGGGAGGTTAGTAGGATGCAACGAATTATTAAAAATCGTCGTAATCTCATGGCTAGGCAATGCAGAAGTTCAGATGAAATATGGGATAGTTCAGATTGACGCGTTTAGGAAAGTTATTCTACGAACAATACCAAATTAAAAATGAGCAATTTCAGAGGCATTTAAATTTAATTTTGATTTGCATTTTTCTTTACATATATATTAAATTCTTTGAGAACTGAAAAACTAATCATGAATACATTTTGATAGACAGAGACAGTCGGACTCTCAGCGAAATAGCTTGTGAATTTGAGTATGAGTCATGCCTGCAGCAGAATTATGAAAGATCTGACTGTCTGATGTACAACTATATTGTTTGGGATTTATTCTTTTTTAGATTCCCCCAGGGACGACTGAATTCCTAGACCTTATAACACGAAAAAGGGAAACTTATATCAGGCGCCCCACAGGCCAAATATTTTAAAGAGCGGAACACGTCATGCAATTAGTATAATTTCGCGGAATCAGCGGCACTTGACTAACAGTGCAAAATGTAGTGGTGGAATAAGCGTCCTTTTGTTGCTGGCCGCGTTAGTCAAAAGGTTGAGAACCACTGGTCAAAGTAGATAAACGTATTCTTCCAAAGGACTGGTCGTAAGATCGTATCCATAACACGTTGTAGAATGGCAGGTGCAACACATAAGCCGAACGGCATTCTCAAAAAGGCGTAAACATCGAACTTCGTAATGAATTCGGTTTTAGAGTCATCTGAAGGCTTCTCTCCAATTTGGAAATAACCGGATGTTAAATCTAGCGTTGTCATGAATCTTGTTGCTTTAATTTCTCGAGTAATTTCTTCAGTTATGAGGAGGTGATAGACAGGATACTTAGTTATACTGTTAAGGTTTCTGTAGTAAATGACGAAACGCCATGCTTTGTGGTTGGTAGGTGTTAGATCATTATATCTTTTTACACAGTACCACCGGGCTAGCATAAGAGCTGCTAATTGTAGTTATAACTTTGTTTTTAACATTTTTTCGATATGCTTCTTAATTATTTTATCTTTTATCTTAACGATAAGATTTAAACCTCAATGGGGCCGCGGTACCTATATCGATCGCATGGCTGACTACATATCTTTAGCCTGGACTATCATAAAAAAGATTTGAAAACTGACAATCCTTTTAAATTTTCTTTGGCCTCCCACCTTAGGGGATTCATGCCAATTTCCGGTGGCTGCATTCTTCTTTCCTCTAGCTTATTCATCTGTAGTTGAAAAGTAGAATCTTGAAAGTTAAGCTGAGTCCTTCCCGCCTTCAAAAAAGCTGGCTCTGACCTATGGTCAGCATAATAAGTCTAATGGCGAGAATAACGGAACGCCGCAGAATATTATTCATAAGGAAATCAAATTAACGACGGGGCCTTCAGCAGGCAAAACTCGCTTTGATTCTGCCCTCTAAAAACCTTCCTTTACATACTTCGTTTTTTCTACCTCATTTAAATATCACGCGAGCTAGAAATTTACATTCTGGTAGAAAAAAGGAAATGAGGAAGATAGGACAAATGATTAGCATAAAATAATTTGTTAGAAACTAAACGTAAACTCTACATACAGGTGAAAATAAATTTTATCAAGCTATCATCAGTTCTCTGTTCACTCAACGCATTACGAAGTGGTACCCGTATAACGAGGTCACTAATCTTGAATTTTTCAACATGTTTATACATAAATAAATGATAAGAGTTAAAAGTCCTGAATAATGGCAGCCTGAGTGGATTAATTTTTTTCTTTCAGGTATATGTGAAGCAGTTAACAGAAATCTCCTAGAATCGCCTCAACACTTTTGCGTCTCAGCTGGATGTTACGATGCGGGTGATTTTTTTTTTATTTTCGTTTATCTTGGGTTTTCTTTTTTATGATCTCATAATTTTTTTTTCTTTCCTTCCACTAGATTCTGCTAATGCGTAATTTCTTTTTCCAGCAAATACCCATTTTTATTTAAGAAAACCAGAATTCCTAAAATAATATTGTACGCAATTAAAACATATACATGCAAAATTATCATGTAAACAGATTAATAAAATTAAATTACGTTAAACTCATAGTTTATATAATTTCGAATATTGTATTGTATAAATAATGAGTTTACATACTATTTTTTATACAAAATAAATGTATAACATTTCTCAGAATACTGAGTTAAATACTATACATATCCTATAATTTATGTAAGTAATAAATAAATTTTAAGCTGATATTTTTCATTTAAAACAGAAATAATTTTAAGAAGCTGATTAACTATATCGGCGGTTTGATCAGATTTTAATAGAAATATTGGTGATTAGATATTTAAAATAATACACTCTGATCTTGGATATTTGTACGATTAGTAACTTCATCAATTAAATACTGCAGAATTTGTTTCCAATATTGCACAATTTTGCATAGAGTTTTGAATTTCAAATAAGCAGATACTATAAAGACTTTGTTAGACTGAGGATAATAGTCATATGATTGATCCCAAACTGAAAAATCGTTTCAAATATTGATTTTTCCTCATTGTTGTTATAATTTCAAGAAACAACATTACAATATTTTTTCAAATTCTAGTTTTTCTTTACAAAACATTAAACCTTGAACCTTGCATAACACACTGTCGAGCCATTAGGAGTTTTTAGAGTAGGAGGTAAGAAAGATGTGCAATGCCTTCGCTAGGACTCGAACCTGGATCTCTCGAATACGCGTCGAATGTGTTATTGTTACACCCTGAAGACATGTGAAAAGAAAGGAAAAAATACCTGATTATAAAAAATAAGTTACCTTGCTACATTATGATTTAATATAAACACTATTGCGATTTTTCAAATCATAATAAATACTTCCTAAAATGTGAACAAATATAATTATGAAATAAATATTTCAGAGAAAGTGCGAGATACAAATACGGCTTTCAAAAAATGAAGCTACAATTATAGCACTAATCGAGTTAAATTATTGATTGACATTTCAGTACTGAAAATAAAATTAATCTGTAACTTAATCGTGCTATCTTATGGTACAAAACATTAATTTGCACTAGCTGCTATAATGATGAAATCAGTATATTAATTTTTGAATGCTGATAAAATGCTTTTTCTTTATCGTTATTTCAGGAATCTAGAACAAAAAGATTCATTTCTCATCCAGATAAGTTAAGGGAAATTCTATTTGATGCATTAAGATTGCTACGTAGTTGTTAAATTCGATAAATTTAACATTATGGAATGAATATCTCGCCTGCACAGAACCTCATAAGCCGGTATCTTTGTACGAAGTTAAAGACTACTATGTCAGTCTTAAAAACGGTAAATAATTTCGGTTTGCATAAATAGGTACGCCATGTTCATTTTGTTATTTTTTTGCCAATCATATTTTTTTTTTCTTTCGAGATTAGTTCGACAGTCAGCTGACACTCGTATTTTGCTAAAGAAATAAATTCTTTACATTTTTATTAACAACTGTTAATTTTAACGTGGAGTCCAAATATAAACATTTTCAACATATATGACTTTTTTTTTTTTTTTTCAAAAAGGCAGGAAAAAGGTTGAGGTTCACAAAGAGATATGTAAAGTTTATGGTGTTGATTTCTTAACAGAACGCTTGTGCCAGAATCGGTTTTCAAAAATTTCATTCTGGTGATTTTTCACTTGAAGATGGCCAGTGTTCTGAACCACATTCTGAAGTTATTGATGACAAAATTAGAGCAATAATTGAATCGAATCGTCATAGTTGTGCGAGACATTGCGAAAAAGTTTTTTTGCATGCAAGAATTGAAAATTACATCAGACGTCTTGGATTCGTTAAGAGACTCAAAATTCGGGTTCCTCGTGAATTGAAAGGAACGAATTAATACAGTCAAAAGTCGTTAATTCGGACACCCATAATCCAGGATGATTATAATCCGGACCTCAAGCTACAAACTTTCTGCGCTGCGTCGCTTTGAGCTGCGGTACGACCTTTACGGCTCGAACATGCGGCGCACACGCAAAATATGTTTACGCTGCCGTTAAGTATGACGGGGTAATCAGCTAGCTAAAATTATCTACGCAGTTAGTTGCAGATTGCGTTGTTCCTTAATCGGCGAATTGGCACCGGCTGATATTTTTTGCAGACTGTACAGAAGCAATTTATAAAAAAGTAAGCTTGAACTTTCGATTATGTCAAATGAATTTCCAATATATATTAGTAATATGTAAAGGATCTACAAGCGAGGGTATGTTTCGAAGTCCATTAACATAGTAGGATGCTTCAAAAAAATGACCTAACATTCCAAATTTTATTATATTTCACGCTCTCTGCGGGGGGGGGGTGGGGATTGCCGCGGCGCGCAATGATGTGGAAGTTGATCGTGTCACGACTATCCGTTTAAAACATTCAGGGGCTTTTGTTTTTCGATTTTTATTGTACTTATAATCCTTACTAATGAAGTATTTCATCTTGTGGTATTCTTCTTGATGTGATTAACAAATTCCTGTCATTATAATTTAGCTTCCGATAGTGAAGAAAGGACACAGGGGGTTATTGAAAAGAAAAAAAATTGCGATTGACAATAGTCGGGTATTTCGACACAGCAATGTAGGACTTGAACAGCGGAACTTTGAACTGAACAAGAAATAAGTCTGTGTATAGAATTAAAGAGAATGTTTTATCACTAAAACGAAGCAACTTACTTGAAAAATGTTTAATAAAGTAAACAAATAAAATATTAAGCTTTTTTTTGTTAAATTTTTGATACCCTTAATCATAATTGTTCTTTATTCATAAATTACGGTTTCATATTTTAATTTTTCATCTGCATGATCTACCAGATTAAACTATGATTTAATCGGAAAATTCGGATACGGAATCCCCGAAGTCCCGACGAGTCCGTATTAACGACTTTTGACTGTATTTGCAATATTAATTTCGAATGTAATTCAGCTGACCGTTTTTTGAAACGAATTATCATTGTTTCCAAGCAACCAAAAGGTCAATTTACGTGTTTACTACCAACACCTTATGAAGCTGCAGGAAGCAATCAAAGAAAAAAGGCAAGAATTTGAAATCACAAATTTCCATCGTGTTCCACCACGATAATATAAGGTTTCACACATCTTTAGCAACAAGTACGAAATTTTTGGAGCTTGTTCGGGAAGTCCCCCTAATAGCCCTAATAGCCCCAAATTTGCATCGTCGAATATATCAAAGTTTACAAAACTTCTTAATTCGCAAAAATTTCAGTGTTAATGATGACCTCAAATCACACTTGGCTGAATTGTTCCTGATAAAGATCAGAAGCTCAAAGGTCGTAGAATCAAAGTTACCAGAAAGATGGCAAACGGTCTTCAAACAGAATGGAAGATCTTGACTGACAAAAAAAACTGTGTTTTATTTCACACTAAAAAACCGAAATTACTTTCTTTCCAACCCATTAATGAAAGATTTTAAGTAACAAGTAGTTAAGGACATAGTTAAATTAACATTAAAATTAAATTAAATTAACATTAAAATTAAAGTAAAATTAAAAATAAACATACAAATTATAAATTTACGATCACTAAAATTAAAAAATTAATTCAAGTGCTGAGACTAAAATTCCATTCATTTAAAGTAAATCCATTTAAAGTAAAGAAATCAATTTAGAGTTTTCAGTGCAAATAGATCTTTCACTTATATGTTTAAAAGTAAAAAGTTCATATGTTATAATTAATATACATTAAGGTAAAATTTTAATTACTATGTTTAATAGTTAAATGTTGGTGCCAATTTTTAGAATTTAATTTAAAGTTCTTTGGGTAGTTCCTTAGCACTTTCTGTATTGTAATTATAACTTCTGAATTTTATTGACATCTTCATTCTGTTTGACAAATACTCTGCCTCATACCTGAAATAGTGATGATTGTACTGCAGATATTTTTGCCACGTGTTTGATAACGTGTTTGATAAAAACGTGATGCCACGTGTTTGATAAAAAGTTTCTTAAAAGAGTTTATACAGCAGGTCAGTTAAGGTTAATAAATGGCAGCTATAAGTGAACAGTAAAAGACTCATATACTCATATGGTAATGTTCATTTAAAACCTAATATAGGCTATTCGTATGTATTAGTTTGGCTGGACGACATAAGTTAACACTTTGATTATTTTAAAATTAACGTGAAATTCTGTAACAATTTTAACGTATGATATTACACATTATGCTCTAAGTAAGTTGGGTAAATATTCCGATATTTGAATTTCAGGTAAATGTAGATTATTTAGTTAAAATTAGTATGTAATATGTAACTTAAATCCATGCATTGATGAATTCGTTGTACAGAAGCTGAGTGTATGCAGGGTTATATTTTGCAAAATTGGAAGTTATATTTTCACGGAAGTAAAATACAAATTTCACAAATTATTTTATATATTCTAAACGTACGATATACACATTATCGTGGAAATACATATAAATAATAAGGATTGGACTGGATTGGATTGATTTATTTAGATAACAACAAAATATACATGGGCTACCTGCCAATAGGAGAATATCCTCCACTTTTCAGCCCCACCGATGAATGCAACCTAACTTACGTGGAGGAATTTTTTAAGGGAGACTGACTGTTTTCCTGGGAAAAACTACTGAAACTCCCATGCCCCGAGCCCGTTTATCGGGATTTTTATCTGAGATGATCTACTAGTATTCAATGATTGTGTTCTATTATTACATTTTATTGTTAGCTTTTTTCCCCTTTCGACTGTAGCACTGTTCTTTAACTTTCTACATGCTGAGTATTAACTTTCTATTCACGGTTTTCCAATGCTGTTGCAAATGTCGTCTCTGGTATTTTTGTTCCTATGTTGAATCTAATTATTTCAACACTTTCTCCCGTTTAACTATATATTTTAAAGAGTAATAAACATTAAAGAGCAAAATTAATTTTATTTAATTGATGGCTGTGCAATATATTTGTAGGTATTGAAATCATGTCCAGTTTGAACACATCTGTGAATGCTTGCGATGACTTTTACCAATATGCCTGTGGTGGATGGATAAAAAAACATGCCATTCCTAAGAACACAAATCGCTTTTCCGTCTTTTCCAAATTTCAAGATGAACAACTCAGAGGTAAGTAAAGTCAGAGGTTTAAAATATTGACATGTAGTTTCATTACAGATGTAATCTTATATAGGGAAAAGAAGCAATTCTCGGTGATTGATTTACAGTTCTGAGATGCTTTAAATTTATCCTCAAAGATTGAAATTAAAATTAATATGCTTAAATCTGTATTATCACAAATCTTCAATTTCTATATTGGATTTAACAAAGAATTGTTTTCAATCCAAACTAAAAATCTAAAGTTTGAAGTTGTGTTTTTGCTCTTTTGGCGTAGTTTCTAAGAGCAGAAAATTTTCTTTCAAATCTAGTACAACACCCTTAGTCAGCATGATTTAAATCAAGGGTGTCCAACCCGCAACCCGCGTGCCGCATGCGGCCCAAAAAGCGAGCACGAAGGACAAATTAAACGTCAAAGACCCACCCCGATGATACATTTTACTGTTGCCACAGGTGTTCGAGAATGACTTTCCACATGGATTCTAGGGTTATCTGAGTTGGAGCAAAATATCATGCGTTTTGAGTAGAATGGCGATTCCTAGCTTCTTTTGACTTGTGCTCGAAGTGATTATCTTTATTTTGATGTGTTGCTTATGTTTGTAGGTATCGCCAAGATGAGGATATCAAGATTAGTGATTCCAGCGTTTCTCATCTTCAAGTTGCAATAGGTACAATCGATGTTATATTTTCAAATCCTTTAAGTTGTGTTTAAAGTAGTGTAGTATTTTCAAATAATATTTCGAGTTCTGTGGGGAATTATTCATAATTCTTTTTATATCTCTTGGGCAATTGCGACATGTTAAATGTTTGTAGGTGGAAAACATCCAGCCTTACTTTTCGGTTTGATACAAGAATTTGGGACTGGGTTTAAAGATTTTTCATCCATTTACAGTCGATACAGATGTGATACTAGCGATTTTGCAAATAGAGTACATAGAGTGGCAGCTCTATTGAAGAGAGGCGGTCTCCGACCTAAGAAAGGCAACTCGCGTGGCCAAACGGAGAATATCTGCAGTATATATACTAAAATTGGAACGATACATAGAGTGGCAATCTGAAATTGAAAATTCGTGGGAAAGGGGCCCTACGATATAAGCCATGTTATTTATCTTATTGAACTGTCCTACTTTGGGGAACAGTTTTGATAGGTCTTTCTCTCTTCTCACTATTTCTGCCATTCAACTTTAGATTCGTTGTTTATGAATCTGTGTGCGAGCTATGTCATGGCACTGATACGTTTTGTGTATTTTAAAACTTTGCTTCTCCTTTGGCTAGGATATCAATCTGCTCTTTACCTTTTGCTCCTGCATATAGTTTCAGGTACAAAGTAGTGTTAATTCTGTGATTTCGCTTTTCGCTAAGTTCGTTCTGTAATCCGTTGGATTAATTTTGATCTGTAGTGCAAGTTTGCGATCGCGTGAAATCACTAAAAAACTGCCTATGAAGATATATGGTGCTTTTAGGATGTGATGCTTCTTCATTTTATTGCTTCCAGAAGAGCTGCTGATTCCATCTGGAATACACTGTCATGTTGGTCTAAATGGAGCTTATTTTAAACTGCCGAATTTGGTGTATAGGTAGATTTTGATTGCCCTGCCGTTACAATCTTCTAGGCCGGAATCGTTTGTACACCATAGGCAGAATTTATTTTCGCTTGTTTCTTTTTCTCACGCTTACTGTGATATTAGTTTTCTTTCATGGGTGGTGCTTGTAAATGTGTGTCGGTGAACCTGTCGTCAGTTCTCTACTAATAAGTTCTAGGATTTTGCAGTTGCTATTGTAGTTTTGGAATTTTTGTTTAGCCCATATAAAATGTGGTGTACTGTTAGCGATTTGGAAGAGGGCTACATCTGATGTTGTTCTGCAGCTTCCTGTGTAGTTGAGAAGAAAGGGCTGCGCCGCCCAGATGATATAGTGGTTAGGAGAGCCTGACTGCGATACCGAAGGGCCTGGCTTCGAATCCCGAAGAAGGCATGGATGTAAAATTGTCTGTCCCTTCATAGGAGGCAAAGGTGGCCCACCTATTAGGTGCCTCCATAATAAAGTGACCATCACTACTGGCCTTAGGAATAGTCAATGCCCACATAGGCAAGTGCCTGCCATTGAAATAAAAAGGAAGGGCCGCTGAATTCCATCAATCTTTTTTTGCTTTCTTTTTATCATGGGTTCTGCCCATATAGCTGTCATGTATAGGGCAATCTCCTTGATTACTGTACGGTAGATGAGGTTTTGGGTTGGTTTGCTCATCCTCCATTCTATTCCATTCTCTTTAGATTGGTTGTAATTTTGGACGTCTTTTAATATAATTTAGATCGTAGGTTTCCAACGGAGGTAGTACTGAATCCTCATTGGGAGCTGGTAACTTCCATGAGAGCAGTAACATGTCAGATGGTGGGTGTCCACATAATGCGCGTCAAGGCAGTCAAGAGGGGCGGCCATGGTGTGCCTACTTAATTAGAATTCTAATATAATAAAATACTTTGAAAATGCCTGTTTTCATGAATAAACATTTTATCTAACTATCTAAAGTTTCCATTTTATTGTTATCGTGTAAGTAAGGATTAAACAATTCAAATTAACATTAGTATACATACATTTAATTCGGTATTGTTGTCAATAACAAGTCTTTGCAAGTTGGTTAGCAAAAACGCTGTTCATGCAATCAAGCATGTTTGGACAAAAATTCAAGAGCTTGTAACCTTTACAGAACAAGGGCGCTGGCTTCTCAAACAACAAGGGACACAACAACAAAAAAAAAAAAAAAAAAAAAAAAAAAAAAGGAGAACAAGTTAATGCGTGATCGAAATCAAAACTCTAAAAGGCAGGGATAACTCTAGGATAGCCTTATTATTTTTGTATGTTTCGCCAATAATTCATACTTGTGAATGAAAGCGATAGAAGTCATTAAAGCCATTATTTTTATAACTATATAAAAATCTGTTGCAAAGTTAATTTATTTAAATCATCCGAAATTTTATATTTCAAATTGTCGCAATCTAAAAGGAAATATCAGCTGTACAGTAAATGGGTATTGAAAATACAAATTTTCGCACTCGCCTACAAACCAGTCATTACCTATGTGTTTAATTTGCCAAAATCTTTTTTCAAATGAAGCGATGAAGCCTTCTAAGCTACAAGAGCATTTGAAATAAATGCTTGCTGAAAAAAGGACAAAAACTTATTTTATCTGGACGGGTAAAGAAATATTTAAAACAGCCAACTATATCAAACATTTCTGAGTAGCCTTCTAAACAAGAAGATAAGGACCATTACCTTGATATAATATTATATACTTCCCAAATTCTTTAATTAACTTGAAATTGGTTCTATCTTGCTGTCCTTTAATCTTTGCTGTATTGGTTCTGTCTTGCTGTCCTTTAATCCTTGTTGTATTGGGAAAACCATACACAATTGGCGAAGTGTAAAGAGACTGTAAAGGCTTTTATTGCAAGACACTGTCAGATATCACCAGAGAAATTTTTCTCAGCAATAATTCGGTGCGAAGAATAGATAAATCAGCTCAAGACAGTTAAATATCATTATGCAATTACTTAAAGACTTGCAAATTTTCCATTCATCTCGATGAATCAGTGTTATCAATTACCAGATCATCATTCGATTCATAATAAAAGAAAAAAAAGCTTGTAAAGAGTTATCATTTGTTAAATATTTAAAAACTGATACAAAGGAAGAATCAATATTTAATAACATGAAATGTTTTCAAGAGAAAGAAATGTATGATCATGAATATTTTGTCAGATCCTACTGTTGGTGCTCCACCAAAGACAGAGCTCATAAGTGCTTCAGAACGCATTAACAAGCAGTACCAGATGTACTCGCTGTACATTGTTTAATTCATCGTCAGCATCTGCTGCACTCATATAATGCATTGGCTGTTACAAAGTATTTGTCTGAAGCTTTTTTTTTCCCAATCTGTTTGACTCAGCATTGGTCTTCCTTGAAAACAGAGATAAAAAAACTGCGCGAAAACCTTATTGCATCCGAAAATAACACCACTTATTTGACAAGCTTATTTAAAATATTTATTGAAGTCAATTTACAACTGCTAGGTGATAGGTGGAATTTAATTAAAACAAAAAAACGTCATATAGCTGCTTTTATGGCAAAACTTCTGTTCAAACTAAATCTAAGTAGAGGTGAAGATGCCACTTTCCCACCACATTATCTGCAGACTCTACAAAACAGGAAGATTTACTTTCTTACTAAAACCATTTGGATGTTCTTCATGCTGATTATATAGAACGACTCCAGGATATTTTAAACATGACTATTTTTATCTGCTTTAGAACATCATCCATTGCATGTACAGCGTTCTAATTCGGGAAATACAGAATTTGTTCTGTCTTGCTGTATTGGACTACCTTATATGCAGCCTGAGGCGATTCACCAGGACTCACTTCCCGTTTTGTTCTCCACTACAGGGCGCCCAAATAGGGCCCTCTTGTGAAACACTATTATCATGATACAATGCTACAAATCATTAATATGTATAAATTCAAATTGGCAAAAGACACAATTTGTAATATTTCTTTTGAATATACCATCTGATGTTTTGATAGTTACAACCATAACCAGCCAAAATTATCTTATTTTTTTATGTGATGCAATTCCCTTTTTTTCCTTTCTTTTAGTATCCATTTTGAAGAGTGGTGCTCAAAGTGAGATGCTCTTTGTTCTTTGTTTTCAGCTTCTCGTGGGAAGAAAATCACATACGTGTTTCCCGTGTGTGGAGACCTGTAAAACTGGAAAGCAGAATCCTGTTAATTTACGGGCTAGGTTCCAACACACTGCTTTGACCTCTGTTTCATATTAAAATGGGAGGCACTTAGCTGTCACCTCTAGTGTCAATCGGCTGATCACTAGTCTTTAGTGTCAGTAGCTTGGATACAAGAGATCGGGATTTCATGCATACAGGAAAGCTGTATGTGGGGATTCATTGAGCGTGGCCTTGTTAAATCTGGAGTTTGAGTCCCTTTCCAAAGCAATTCACATTACTTTAATAGAAGAGTTTGAAACAATTTTAATAAAGTCAGATAACCAAGCAGTGAAAATCACATACGAAAAACACTTAGAAACACTTCAAAAAATATTTACAGCGAAAACCTCATAGTACAAAGCATCTTGAATCGATGTAGTTCCAATCCTCAAATAAAATAAAATTCAAAATCAAATGGGTCAAAGATTGCAGTGGCATAGCAAGAACTGAAACAAAAAATTCTCTTGCTAAAGATTTCATTATTAACCCAACAAGTTAAACTATCAAAATCCATGGCTGAAATCTTCCTTAAAGAAAAATATTGAAGAACTTCGAGATAAAATACGGCAAGAAGGGTGAGGCCACTCTCTATAAGGCAGATAGATGTCTTCTTGAAATAATCTCGAAAGTAAACAAGCTAGTAAATTTCAGCAACCCATATATCAACTACTATCTGACAAGGCACGGCTCCTTTCCTTCATATTTTTTACCAGAAAAATTTCCAACACAGAAAGGTGCATTTGTGAGGAAAGGGGCGACAGTAATCATTACACTACAAATGCATTCTGACAAAAAATCATCATATTATATATAAATTCAAAATTATTTATGTATATTTTAGGCCACTATATGCTCTGTTTCTCCAGCGTGGGATGCTGTTCCCGTCCTCATGTGGAAAGACAGCATGTTATAACGTTGCGCGCCTCTAACTAGCACGCAACGGGAGGTGGGCGGAAACAACGTATCAAACCAGAGGAGTCTTATCAAGGGTTTAAGCCCTTTTATTCAACGTACTAATTTCCATTGCGTTTCGCGCTTGACGCTACAAACGGTCCACTCGGCAGTCAAAATAACAATAAAAACGAAAAGAAATTAAAGACTATTCTAACTACGAGCTCTCTCAAGATACTAACTCACCGCGGTTAACAATCGGCTGCTAATTCAGCAGATTGAGGCACTGGAAAATGTTATTAATTACTTCCGTCAAGGCGCATAGGCCGCACGCGGGGTTTTCCCGAATCTCTAAACTACCCGGGAGGTCCGCGCTCGCTAAGTAAGAAAACTCTCTCTCACCGAACTGGTTCTCTCGGTACATCATACTTCACTCCCGCATATATTTTAATGCTTGCGCGTCTCTCAATTTACATATTCTGGCTTGGCAGTTCAGGGAAAGTAAGGATGACAGAAAGATATATAAAAATAAAATATGTTAGTTAAAATAAATATAACCCAACAAGTAAGGCAATAAATTTTCAGAACCATCACGATGCATTACCGCACAGGGAAGTAAAAGGCTACCACGGGGCGACGATCTCTATGGGCTTATTAGTGATGCATGCATAATTGTTTTCAACAAGGACCTGAATTGTGCTAAGGAGCTACCTATTTTCATTTATATTATAATCATGATACGTTTCGAGTACATGAAGCATTTCGCTGCTCACAGAATGAATGATTACAACGTGATTCCTTGTTGTTTATCTTTCCAAGTCTTAACTTTGTCACGTAGCATTAATCTTTTCCTTTTGTTTCAGACTTTGTAGAGATTTATTATTCATTTGTAATTTTTGTACCGTATTTCATTCTGACATTTATATTAATTGCAACTGTATATAGTATATATACTTTATACCCATTGTGTTATATTTTGAAGATTTTTCTATTACTTTATAATATTTAGTGTATATTTGTATATTGAATTGTATACTCAATCTACTTTTTATCAACACGCTTGTCGAAGGTGGTATGCATTTCTGTCACCTTTTCTTTTCTGTTTCTCTTTGATGAAACAGATATTCGTATTTATGAGCCAATGATCTTCCGTTTTATTAACCTTCATTCTATTCTCCCCTAGCAAGAGTTCGTTCGATTGATTTTATGTGATGCGTCCCTGCAGTGTTACTAAAAATGGTTATAACAGCCGAATTAAGTTAACTACATAAGCATTTAGCTTCAAATATTAGATTTCCATAGCCATCTCGTGTGACCAAATAAATATGATATGAATTGAAAGGAAGTAGTACACTGTTTCGAATACTATATAAAACAAATATCACACGTTAACTAAGTAGAAGATAATAGTTATTAGATAGCAAGTAGGAACAAGAATGTTATAAGAATGTACATTTGCATTTTTACATTAAGGAAAATGGCTACGAAAATATGATAGAGAACTTCCATGGAAATGACAAGTTCAAAGAGTTTCAAAACACTTCTCCTAACTAAAACTAAAGAATAATTAATGTCCGTATTACAAAGTATTCGAATTTTACAGACTTATTAAACTTATTACGTGGGCTGATAAAGAGCATTGGTTTTAGGTGCACATCTAGTTACAGCGGAACGGTCTTTTGGCAGGAATTTTGTGAATTTGATTTCAGAATATTACACTATAGACAAAAGTAGAATATCCAAACATTCTTAAAAGCATTCTTAGATTTTATGATTTCAGCAACATTTAATGAGAAATCAGTCCCTCAAAATAAAAATCAGAAAATTATAAGCTTTCTAAAAGTGCGATTGTAACAAATGTCTTTGCAAAGCTAACTTCATGGTAAAACTGTCAGTTGGCTGAAGTTTCCGAAATGGTACATGCAGATAACGTCCCCATAGTCGTCCAGGGTTACACTTTATTCTCATAAATCGGGATTCGCATTGCTTTGTAGTTCCCCATTTCTTTCGTAATCATCCCTTTCCTCGGCATATAGCTCCGGACTGTCTCTGAAGACGGTATCTTTTTTCAGTCCTGCTGAAGTCTATTCCCGAAAATGTGACCGATTCTTTCATCAGGAATTGTCTAAATAACTATTGTAACCATCGTTAAATCATCACCTACTGAAATTTTATAGAACAGTTGCACGTTGGATATTATTTCATTCTTATATTATAAATATATTAAAATAAAGAAAAATGGAAATTTATTTATGCATGGTGTGATAAATTTGACCAGTTTTAATAACACATATACACAGTGCTTAATAAATGCACTTTATTTACCACTTTGTACAGACAGCATAATAGCAAGAAATTTCACTTCGCATTAACTAGCTGAAACAAAATAATTCTGAAACGCCCATCGGAAGAATGAGGACTTTTCGTCTGTGTATGTCTTTAAAGGCTTAAAAATATATAAAAACCTGTTATAAATTCCTCTAATTAATGTATATTTTAAGCCAATAATTATCATATTATAAAAAATAGAGGTTCCGCGCTTTACAGCACATTTTAGGAAGTCGCAGCTCGTATGACGGTGGAAAAACGTGTTGAGTTGCGAAAAGACATGAGTAAATATTAAGGAAATTTGTAGACTTTCAGAGTTTAAAGCTCTTTGGTTTATGAGCCATAGCAGTTAGAGAAAGCGCCTTCGACATATCAAGAGTTTATGAATATCCTGGCTGGTTCCATTAAATCGAGGAAATTAAAAACCAACCTGTTGGGCAATTCTCAGACCAGTTTTAACATTATAAAAATTTCTAGGCTTAAAATAAAATTTTAGCCTCAGTTCAGTCGAATGATTCTATGAACAACTACCAAGTCATCTAAATTTTCAACTTAAGTTTCAAATCTCGGGAAAATAAATCTATCAGAAAGAATTACGTAGCAAACTACGTCATCCGGTTAGAAATAGATATACAAATATCTTAGAATTTTAGGACCTTTACCCCGAAATTACATGACCTATTTTCCAACTTCTTTTGCTTACGGCGAGATGTGACTAAAAACTTTAAAGCCTTTTTTATCTGTTGAATATGACATCAAGATGTGTTCCAGGTGTTCATTATGATGGTGACCTGCTTCTCATATAAAAACAAAAGCTGATGAGAAAAAGAAAAATTTCCGCTCGAGGAAATAAACACAAAATAATGCTTCTCAGTAATTTTATACCTTCTTATATTTCCACCTATTTTTAAAGCTAATCATACCTTTGAGCAAATTAGACTGATACAGATCTGAAGTTGTCTTCTAAAACTAAAGAGTACACCTCCTTTTAAAAATTAACATAAAGAGGGTGTGCTTTTTAAACAAATGTTGGCACAGACAGCCGTGAAAGCGAACAAACATGCTGTATATGTGTCCATGTATTGAAACAGTTATCTTTGACTAGCAATACTTTGGAAAAATTTCTCCTTCCTTATACTGCCTGCTATGTTTCATAATAATATATATTGCAAAATATGTATCATTAGTATAATTCTTAGAAACTTCCATTAATATATCTACAGATAAGAAATTTGCTTAAAAATCACAAAACTTTGAAAATGTTCTGGATAATTCTCCATTGTCATGCATGGCATTTTACATGTGATATTTAACTGGTCATACCTCGTCATTTCCATGTGATATTTAACTCGTTATTTCCATGTGATATTTAACTGGTCATACCTCGTCAACAAATTTTCGTATACATTGATGTGTAAATCTTTGAAAACAAATATATGGGATTGAGTGGAATGTGCTAATTTTCATGCCAGTTTAATGTTTAATTAATAAAATGATTCATCAAATAGCAGTGTCCATTTTTGGATGTTATTCCAAAATTAATGAACAGTTTCTCTGGTATGTATTTGAATGCGGGTGAAAACTTTGAAACACAGAATAATGAAATACTTTCCTTTTCCTCACTGATTTTTTTAAACAATCGGCTGAATATTCACATTTAACGATAAATTTTATACAGGTTATGTAAGTGATATTGTTTAACACACACACACACACACACACATATATATATATATATATGCATGTTGTTAATATAATTAATGATCTTGTTTACTTGGAAATTCCTGAAAGAAAACGCAGTTTTATTTGCATATAAATGTTAATTATTTTTATTTGTAGATATGTTTACGGAGCAATTAAACCAAGGTGCACCACTTTTCATTCGCGTATTAAAACAAATATATGATACCTGCATGGATGAAGGTAAGACCCATTTCAAATATGCACTCTACTGAATTTTACATAAACATTTAATTATAAGCATAAGTTATTAAAACATTACAACTTAATTTACTTAACCATTAACATAGTTATAAAACATAAAACATAATATTTAATTGTGCATAAAACATTTCATTTATATAATAAATTAGAACTCGCTTTAGAAGCAATTATTGTAAATATCTTAAAGTTTCATGTAGTATTAAATTGCATTTTTAAATGTATGGAAGCGCTTACGAGAATATAAATTGTGTTATCTTAGCTGTATATTCCTTAATTTCTTAAACTGCATGATTTTAAAAATACTATTATTTTTAGATTCATAAAAGTGCTGTGGGAAGCTATTAACAATGAATTCGTCCTACTATTATAAAAATATTGAGAATGTTTCGCTGAAAATATCCATCTTCAAGCAGTCGTTTGCAAAGCAATTTCAGATCAATATCTGGCAATAATCCCTAATTCATTTTCTTTTACCATTTGCAAATAAATTCATTTTTAACGAATAGAGAAGTTTTACATTGTAATTTCGCAAAATCGGCGAATGTAACTGAGCAAAGATTATTATTAAATTATTAAATGATATTATTGAATTTTCGTTTCGCAAAACAGTTCCTACTGCAGATGTTTATAATTATCGCAAAAACATTTTGAGGACACACAAGAGTTTTTGCGTGGTACCAGGTGTTGTATGGTAGACCTGAATGTTTATAGGGAAGGTGTTTATATGGTAGCCCGTTTATACACTCTAATAGAACATTCACTTAAATTAATGAACAACACGGCGTTGAAGTCAGATATTTAATGCTTAAGATTGTCTTTAAACGTTTAAGGATATAACTGAACAAATTCCAGTATCATCTGGATCTGATTAATCAGTTTCAAAAGATCACTTATTTCTGCGGAACTTTTTCTTTATTTATAGTTGTTCCAAAAATATTGAATTCTTCCGAAAATCCAGTTACGGATTGAAACTTGTTCTAGTCCAGACTGAAACGTTTTTGAAATAACATGTTAAATGCTCTCACCTTAGCAGATGCTATCTCAAGGCGTGTATTCCTTAAACGCCTCATTACCGGCAATAAAACATTATCTACACTTCTTATACTAGAGTAGGTTTAACAGTGAAATGGATTTCGCAGGAAGACTGATACAAAACTGAAATGACCAAGTCATAATAAGTCAAGAATCAAGGTTATGTTAAGTGTTTTCTTCGACTATCGTGGTATCTTGCATAGTGGATTTCTACCAAACGGCAAAAGTTAACAATGACTGTTGAGTAAACCTTTGAGTATTTTCAGGTATTATGTAAAGCAATTTGCAGAAATCAACCTGAATTATACCGAGATGGCTCATGTAATTTCTGCCAGGCTAATGCACTTTCTCACATTATGTTTGTTGTTCGTATGTTTTCGATCAAAATGTCAATAAATATTCTATGCTCTACAAACTCAGTATTCACCTGATAGGACACAGTGCGATATTTAATTAATTAAACAATTAAAATATCTGTTTATTGGTCACAGTTTGACAAAGCATTTAAGTGGAACTATAATCAATATTAGAATTAGAATAGCAAAATTACGTTCTGCTTAATGGTAGTTTAACTACGTAACCATTATTATCTTTCACTATGGTTCATCCACAAAATTTCCCTCATGTATTGCTATTAAATGCATTTTCTATATTGGAAATTGTTCCCAATTCTCCCAGGAGTTTGTCTGTTGGCTATCTAGGCTTGATATCACATGGCAAGTGATCACTGATTTCATCTAAATTTGATTTCCAGAATCACGTTTTCAGAGTAGCCATATGAATTGGCTCATTTATATGATATCTGGATAGATATCTGTCCACAGACACCTGAGAGGGCAAAATTTGGCTCAGCTAAAATTAAATAGTTCAAATTATTACAATTCTTATTCAGAAACTAAAAATAAACTAATTTAATGGTATGTTCACTGATCAGTAATGCTGTAGTTGTATATGACTGTTGATTAAACTGCGGACTGCATCTGAGAAGTGTCTCATCTAATAGAGTTTCAACTGCTGTTTAACTGATTTCAGAAATTAATTGTCGATTATCTTTAAGATTTAATCTATTAAAACATTCTTTACCGATTAAACTTAAATCGATTTATTGTCGGTTAAAATTCAGAATAACATATATTGATTAATTTTGAAGGCATAGAAACAATTATTGTAAATTAAGTTATTGTCCTCATTATGCAAGGATCTTGCTAGCGGCAAGACTCCCTCTGGCCGAAAATTTAAACGCTTTCTGATATGTTGCTCTAACTGAAACAAACTGCAGATTGAATTAATCAGCTCAAATTTTAATTTCTCAGTTGGATTTTACGTCTTCTGATCCATTATAATTGAAATGATATCACAGGAGTAACAGAATCATTGGTCCATCAGCCTCCCTGAAATCGAAAGGCTTTGATGACATACACAATGCAGATCTCTAAATTTTCTTGGCACTAGTAGTGAAGTTATGACACTTGTAGTGTCAAGCAGAGGCATTTACTCAACGAATTATTGTTTCTGAAAAGACAGAACGTGTCGTCTAACTTCGCAAAGACTGCGAATCGTAGGGGATCGCGCACTTGAATTTCTTATTTTTATATGGTCTCTTGCATAACCTAAAAATATCAGCAGGTACTGACTGAGGGATTTTTCCATATGGCCCTTTAATCTGGCAATAGTAATTACTTTTGCAAAGAGTCTGACTGAAAGAAAGCGAGATTAATTCGTTAATTTAAATAAAGTGAAAAGGAGTTCTTGAAGGTGACATCAAGATATTTCAGCGCTTCATCAATGTCAAAAGAAACTGTTATTGATTTCTGAAACGAAATATATTTTTGAATTTATTGAAAAATACAAATGGTATTTTAGCAACATAATACCAAATATTTGGCTAAATGGGATGACACATATCCCGAAAAAGATCTATAAGGAAAAGGAGAAAGGAATGGTTAAAGAATTTTGCTTTAGCATAAAAAGTTTTCATTTTTAACAATGTGTCATAAATGGAATACTAATTTTGTTAGGTGACATACAAAATGAAATCCACTGCGTATATTCAGGAGTTAAATATAAATTTCTGATACCCTAACGGACAGGAAAAAAACTAACGCCGGAACACTTCTATGGAGTTTAGAGCAATGGAAGTATTTTCGAGATGAAGAAGATTCCGTTCTTAGACTTTGGTGGTGGGAGACATTGATGGAGTCCTCAGAGTCAAAACTAAGGTCATTGAACAGAATGATGAATTTTACTTTCTTTATTCCCTATTGTTTCCTTCCAAGCACTATCTTACTGAATGCCTCTTAAGAAAGTGTCATGAAACTGTAGAGTGTAATGCTGGCGTGCAGGTATTAGCAACCAAATAAAAAGAACAATACTGGATCACTTCGTCCAAACGAAATACAAAAATCCAAGATCTTGCATGAGCTAATGTATAGTCTGCAGAAGGCTCTTAAAGCCAGTAAAAACTCATTAACGTTATGTACGAAAGCTTTTTGTTTACTTATGACTGTTACTGTGTTCATGTTTATTCTTATTTCCTTCATGCTTTTCTAACTAATGTACAAGTACTAATTTTATACCTGATTCTAAATGTTAGAAAATTTTGTGCAATGTTGCTTTGAGAACATCAGAGTGAGAGAAAATACGTGAGAGACACAGCATGGTAAAAATTCATGAAAACTACGCATGTAGCCAGCCCGTTCGACGGGTTTGGAACTCAAAGCAAGTCGAACTACTAGTATTCAGTGGTCTCAGACAACAGTGGGCCAAGATTGGGTAACAAAATACAAAATAATGAGATTTTAAATATTTATATAAATGCCAAGGTAAACAAATAAATTACTTGTAGAACAATAAAATACTGAACCATTCTAAATATTTGCAGCTAATGATATGAACATAATCAAAGTATAATTAGAAGTAAAAGGTAAGGAATGCATAAAAAGAGCAAAATATAATTCCATGGTTTATTCACATTCTCAGGAGCACAGAAATATTTCATGCATTTATTAACTTCTGAAATTTTGATGATTCATAAACTTTTGGTCTGCTTGTTTTTTGTGGACTGCATTATAATTTGAATTGGATTAAAGATTTAATTAATATTACAAAAAACATAAAAAATATGTTTAAGGGTTTTATTTATGATCATATATATTCTGCCCTTCAACGTATATGGGATTGTAAATAAAGGTATACACACTAGACGCAGCTAGAGCATATTGCTCAAGATTTCTGTTTACCGCTTACACCACGAGTTTAATCCCTATGTAGTCACATTACACATCGGAATAATCACGGAAAAACATAATGAAGCCAACCCGTTTGCCCGGAGCACTTGCATTAGAGAATTACCAGCATTCAGCGGTCTAAGCCCCACTTCAAGTACTGGTGAGCCATTGCTTACCCCGCGATAAAATCCACAGAATACTGTGAAAATTTCTTATATCTGTATTGTTCTTTATGTCTATTTAACACGTTTTCGCTTGAAGCGAGTTAATGGATATATTAAATAATCGAATTAAGGAAGGTTTTCTTGTCAATTAATATAATAAAGCTGATTTGGAATATATAAAAACTCTGAAGCTATTCTGTGGAAAAACAAAAAACAGCTAGATGAAGGAAAATTTGCTCGTTAAAAGCTTTTTGATTAAGTCCATATACACGTCGATTTCTTCAAGGGAATTTGAGATAGTTACCTTTCCTCTCTGCTACGAAAAGAAGTACAAGTTTTTTTTTATTTCCAATTATTTATTTTCTGCTAATTTTTCTTTCCAGAAGTTGATTTAAATTTTAATTAAACCTACTTTAAAAATAAAGAAATTTTTAATTCGGGCATCAAAGTAGAGACTTCAGTTACAAACCCAAAACATTTTACTCGATCAGGCATATTACTACAAATCCAATGAAAACTAATGTAATTTTTTTGCATAATTTCTATTAGAAATATA